ACATAGAAGAGCTACAACTCTACAACCATGATACACAACTATGTACTGGGGCTTTGGGGAGAAAAAAGAAAAAGATGAAGATTGACAGCAGATGTTAGCGCAGGGCCAATCTTCCTCAAAAAAAAAGTCACTTAATCAAGAGGATATAACAATAGTACATACAAATGCAGCCAACATCAGAGTACTTAAATATATAAAGAAAATATTAACAGAACTGAAGGGAGAAATAGACAGCAATATAATAATAGTGGGGGACTTCAATACTCCACCTCAGGGAACTAGAACAAACTAAGACTAAAGTTAGCAGAAGGAAGGAAATAATGAAGATTAGAACAGAAATAAATTAAATAGAGACTGGAAAGACAATAAAAAAGATCAACAAAACTAAGAGTTGGTTTTTTGAAAAGATAAAATTGACAAACTTTGAGCTACACTAACCAAGAAAAAAAGAGAGAATACTTAAATAAAATTACAAATGAAAATTGTGACTAATATCAAGAAATAAAAAGGATCATAAGAGACTACTATGAACAATTATATGCCAACAAATTGGATGACCTAGAAGAAATGGATAAATTTCTAGAAATATACAACCTACCAACACTGAATCATGAAGAAATAGAAAATCTAAACAGACCAATAATGAGTAAGGATTTTGAATCAGTAATCAAAAATCTGCCAACAAAGAAAACTCCAGGGCCAGGTGGCTTCACTGGTGAATTCTAACCAACATTTTAAAAAGAATTAATGCCAATCCTTCTCAAACTCTTTCAAAATAATTGAACAGGAGGGAACATTTTAACTCATTTTACAAAGCCAGCATTACCCTGAAACTAAATCCAAACAAGGGCACTAAAAAAAAAGAAATAGAAAACTACAGGCCAGTATTTCTGATGAACATGGATGCAAAAGTTCTCAACAATATATTACCAAGCCAAATTCAACAGCAAATAAAAAGGAATATATACCATGATTAAACAAGATTTATCCCTGGGATGCAAGGATGGTTCAACATATGCAATTAATAAATGCTATACACCACATTAATAGAATGAAAAATAAAAATCACATGACCATCCCAATAGATGAAAAAGCATTTGACGAAATTCAACATCCTTTCATGATAAAAACTCTCAACAAATTAGGAAAAGATGTCCATTGACACAATAAAGGCCATATAAAGCCCACACCTAACATCATACTCAACAGTGAAAATTTGAAAGCTTTTCTTTTAAGATAAGAAACCAGACAAGGATGCCCACTCTTGCCACTTCTATTCAACATAGTACTGAAAGTCCTAGCTAGAGCAATAAGGCAAGAAAAAAAAATAAAAGACATTCAAATTGTAAAAGAAGTAAAACTGTCTTTGTTTGCAGATAACATGATCTTATATAGAGAAAACCCTCAAGACTCCACCAAAAACCTGTTAGAACTAACAAATGAATTTAGTGAAACTGCAGGATACAAAATCAACATACAAAAATCAGTTGCATCTATATATGCTAATAACAAACTAGCTGAAAGGGAAATTAGGAAAACAATCCCATTTACAATAGCATCAAAAAGAAAAAGAATACTTAGAAATAAATTTAACCAGGAAGATGAAAAATCTGTACACTGAAAACTATTCAACATTGATGAAAGAAATTGAAGAAGACACAAATAAATGGAAAAATATCCCATGATCATGGATTGGAAGAATTAATATTGTTAAAATGTCCATACCACCCAAAGTGATCTACAGATTCAATGCAATGTCTATCAAAATTCAAGTAGTATTTTACACAAAAATCGAAAAACAATTGTGAAATTCGTATGGAACCACAAAAGACTCTGAATAGCCAAAGCAATCTTGAGCAAGAAGAACAAGGCTGGAGGCATCATGCTTCCTGGTTTTAAACTCTATTACAAAACTATTTTAATCAAAACAGTTTGGTAGTAGCATAAACACAGATACATAGTCAAATGGAACAGAGCAGAGAGCCCAGAAATAAACCCACGCATATGCAGTCTACTAATCTTTGACAAGGGTGCTAAGTATACATAATGGGGAAAGGACAGTCTCTTTAATTAATGGTGCTGGGAAATCTGGATATCCACATGCCAAAGAATGAAATTGGACCCTTATCTTACATCATACACAAAAATCAACACAAAATGGATTAAAGACTTAAACATACAACCTGAAACTGTAAAACTCCTAGAAGAAAACATAGGACAAATGTTCCTTGACATTGGTCTTGGCAATGATTTTCTGGATATGACACCAAAAGTAAATGCAACAGAAGCAAAAATAAAACATGTGGAATTATATCAAACTAACAAGCCTCTGCACAGAAAAGGAAACAATCAACAAAATGAAATGGCAACCCACAGAATGGGAACAAATATTTGCAAACCATATATCTGATAAGGGGTTAATCTCCAAAAGATTTAAGGAACTTACACAATTAATTCAATAGCAAAAAAATAAATAACCTGACCTAAAAATGGACAAAGGACCTGAATAGTCATTTTTTCAAGGAAGACATACAAATGGGCAACAGGTATATAAAAAAGGTGCTCAACATTGCTAATCATCAAGGAAATGCAAATCAAAACCACAGTGAGATATGACCTCACATCTGTTAGGATGGCTAATATCAAAAAGACAAAAAAGATTAAGTGTTGGCAAGTGTCTGGAAAAAAGGGAACCCTTGTACACTGTTGGTGGGATTGTAAACTAGTTCAGCCACTATGGAGAACAGTATGGAGGTTCCTCAAAAAATTAAAAATGGAACTACTACACAATTCAGCAATCCCACTTCTGGGTATATATCCAAAGGAAATGAAAACAGGTTACCAAAGATACACATGCACTCCCATGTTTATTGCAGCATTATTCACAATAGCCAAGATATGGAAACAACCTAGGTGCCCGTCAACATACACATGGATAAAGAAGATGCGAGATATATGTACAGAATATTATTCAGCCATGAGAAAAAAGGAAATTCTGCCATTTGCAACAACATGGAAGGACCCTGAGGACATTACGCTAAGTGAGATAAGTCAGACAGAGAAAGACAAATACTGTCTGATATCTCTTGTATGTGGAATCTGAAAAAACTGAAATCATAAAAGCAGAGAGTAAAGTGGTGGTTAGCAGGGGCTGTGGCGTGAGGGAATGAGAGAGATGTTGTTTAGGGTACATACTTGCAACTAGTAGATAAATAAGTCAGTCCTGGAGACCTAATACACAGTATAGTGATTACAGACAACAAACTTATTATAAACTTTAACCTTGGTAAGAGACTAGATCTTAATTGTTCCCAACACTAGAAGAAATTATAATTATGTGATGCAATAGAGGTGTAAGCTAATGCTACAATGGCAATCATATTGCAATGTAAATGTATCAAATCAATATGTTGTACACCTTAAACTTATGCAAGTTGTATGTCACATATATCTCGATAAAAAAATAATTGTCAAAAAATGGTTAACTATGTGAGGTGATGGATGTGTTAATTAGCTTGATTGTGGTCATCATTTCACAGTGTATATGTATATCAAATCATCATGTTATACACTTTAATACAATTGTTATTTGTCAATTATATCTCAATAAAGCTGGAAAAAATAACATTTAAGTATCCATGTCAGAACCTTAGGTCTCAAGTAATTACTTGAGTTATTAAAATAAATATTGCAACTGAAATGAGCCTGCATTTCATTACATCATTAATTTAGTAATATCAACCATGAAGTTAACTTAATATGAAAAGAAACAACGAAGCTATCACCTCATGCATATATAACCATGAATAAGAACAGAAAGCAACCTTGTTGAAATCCTTGTTCCCACATTGCAGTCAGACAGAATACGAATTAAATGTGAGTGTCAGCAAAATCACAAATTACTTCATGTCACAGACCTTTGGAAATCAGTAAACAGTGAGTATCAAATCCATAAATGTCAAATGCTTACTATACTTATATTATTGTACTTGTGTCGTTGAACACCTATTGCCCTAATGAGAACATGAGCTTCTTGGGGACAGGACTCCTGTTTTATCATTCTTTTTATACCAAAGTTGACCTAACATAAAGCAACCACTCCAAAAACATTTGTTGAATTAAATTGCCTCCTAATTGGTTTCTCTGCTTCCAGGCCATCCTCCTCTCCAAAATCCTGCCAGATCTTTTACAAAAATACATCTCTAATAAAGTCATTCCATTGTCCAAAACTTTTAATGCTGTTCATAATCTGCTTTACAGGATTATGTCCACACACCTTGTCAGGGTATATAAGAAATACCCTCAGCCTATATTCCCAGTTTCACTCCCAGCATCTCAGCCTACCCTCAACCTATATTCCCAGTTTCACTCCCAGCCTCTCCTCTTCACACACCCTCTCCTCAAGCCATACTAGCTGTTCCTTGAACACTTTTGGATTTTTGTTACTCTATGCCTTTGCAAATGCTGTTTCCTCTGTCTGACAGGTTCTTCCGCTCTCATCTGCCTCATCAAACTCTTATTATTAAAGCTCAGTTTAAATATTACTACCTTTGTAGCTTTCCCTGACCCCTCACAGAATTAATATCTCCCCCTTTCTTTTTTCTGCATCAATACGTTTATTTATTCTGAAAATGGATTAGGCTAATTTAGGGGGAAGGGAAGAAGAGAAGGAAGGAGGGAGCGCCCTGCCAATGGACTTACCCAAGCAGCGACTGCGGCACTACGTGTTAAGCATATTGTTCTAGCAGCAGTGGTAGAATGGGACTGGACGATCTTTTAAGTCATGAGGTGCTATGGTTCGCACCTTTCACACTGCGTGTATGTGTGCTTGTGTGTGTGGAGGGGATCGGGGTGGGGGTGGAAGAGACAAAGAGACAGAGACAAAGAAACAGAGAGACACAGAGATCAGAGAGGAAATGAGAGAGGACGCAGTGCAGATGGGCGGACCCAAATTTCTTCCGCTTTTCAGTTTTGCAGAGGTCCAGCCCTGCATCTAGCGCTGTAGCAAGGAGGTGGGAGAGGAAGAAAGGGGAGGGGCCGCACTCCCTCTGAGCGTGCCCAGCCTCGACTGCCTGACGGATCACCTTCCGCTCCAGCACGGCCAGTTCCTCCTCGCCGTGACTCATGCCTCTTGTGCCCGGCAGGGCGCACTCTACCCACAGCCCCACAGGTGGTATAGGCTTGGTGAGACGCTTGCCGCCAGGCTAGGCAGTGGAGCGCCGCACAGCGCGCCTTCCCGCCTCTAAGCTGCCGCCCCAGCAGTTCCGACCCAGCGCCAGCAGGCCTGCTTGGTCGATCTTCGAGCCGAAGATGCGGCGGGGCTGGAAGATGGCTCTGTCAGGGGGGCTGCGGTGCTGCCGCCGGGTACTTTCCTGGGTGCCAGTGCTCGTTATCGTCCTCGTCGTGCTCTGGTCCTACTATGCCTACGTCTTTGAACTCTGCCTGGGTAAGTGGAGCTGGGCACCTAAGGTGGGGAAATTATGCTCCAGCATAATCGTCTGCCCTACCCTTTACACTAGTGTCGCCTGTGTTCTTAGCCCTCACACTGCGGTTTTCCTTTAGCTCCATGGAGAACTCCCCGTCTCCAACCTCTGGCTTCCCACAATATTTTTTGTGCCCTCCCACGAAGGTCCCACCATGTCGCCATCGCTTCCCACCTTGGGTTTCTTACATTGTTTCCTGGCCCTACTCACGAGAATTTCCTGGCTCTTCCCACTAGGTTTCTCATACAGGACAACCACTTGTGTTACGTGTTCTCGTTCTGGCGGCTCCCACTCTACCGAATTGAGGAAACGACATACCCTGTATCCTTAAACTGTCTGCTTATGCTACGAATCCCACCAATGCATCCAATTAGGAGCCCCACATTTTCCCATTCCCTTCAACTAGGAATCCCAAAATATTTCCTGTACTCTCTTACTAGCTCTCCTTTTTCCAACACTGGGATTCATCCTTTTCCCATGATCTGCTTTGAAGAGCATTCACGCCTTCCCACATTATTTTCCCCACATTATTTTCTGACATCTCATACTAGTCACCCTGCTTTTATCACACTATGATCCTGCATTGTCCACTGTTTTCTCACACTAGAGTGTCCTCTTTACCCTCCCACAAGGGTTCCCACAATATCTTTCATACCCTCCCTTGTTATCTTTTTTGAAAACTACTCCCCACCTCCTGCAGTCCTCTTCCACTGTTAGCCCCACATTTTGCCATTTTCTTCCTCTAGAGTTTCTTCTTATTTTCTCTTACTTCCCTCGAGGATCGCACTTGTCCCCTGTCTTCTCAAATTAGGGAAACACCATCCTTTCCCATTGAGCTTTCATTGAGTTTTCCTGTTCCTTCCAATGGGAGCCTCATTTCTTATCCCCTCTCATTAGACCACCCTCTTTATAAATCTGGGGTCTCCTCTTATACCGTGTCCTGACACACTAGGGGGCGTTCCATCTCCTCCTTATCTATAAAATGGTTTCCACAGTATATCTTATACTTTCAAACTCAGAATTCCACAATATTTCCTGACACAAACCCCAAGACCCTATCGTGTATGTTCCGCACTTGGATTATCCCCCTAGTTCCCTATCCTTATCACTACTGGCCTTATAGTGTTCTTATCAATTCACAATGGAGTTTCCGTATTATATCCTGTCTCCTCAAAACAGAGCCTCTGCTTTTCTCACAGTAAGATCTCTCCTTGCCCCTATCCTTTCACGTTGAAGAATCCCCATCTCTTCTCAAAGGGTATTCCACATAGTTGTCACTTCAATATTAGAATCCCGGTTCTAGCACCCTTAAACTTATATCCCACAATATTCTCTATTCATTCAGTGTGAGGTTCCAGTACATTTCCAGTCCCCTCATCTTAGGACTCCTATTTGTCCCATTGGATATCCCTTCACTCCCAAGTCCTTTTAAGGCTTCTTTATTCTTCATACCAGATTCTTCTCATCTTAGAAATTATGGCTGGAGCTGGCCCCGTGACTTAGCGGTTAAGTGCACGCGCTCTGCTACTGGCGGCCCAGTTCGGATCCAGGGTGCGCACCCACACACTGCTTCTCCGGCCATGCTGAGGCTGCGTCCCACATACAGCAACTAGAAGGATGTGCAACTATAACATACAACTATCTACTGGGGATTTGGGGGGAAAAAAAGGACAAGGATTGGCAATAGATGTTAGCTCAGAGCCGGTCTTCCTCAGCAAAAAGAGGAGAATTAGCACGGATGTTAGCTCAGGGCTGATCTTCCTCACACACACAAAAAAAATTATGGCTGTGATCCTGCTTTTTCCAACCCCAGGGCCTGACTCCACTTATAACTTCCTGCTCTTACATCTTTAAGGAGAAATAGTCTACTCCGGGTAGACTGGGATTAACTAGAGAGGCAGGAGATAACCCTCTTTTCCAATATAGAACTTTCTTCTAATCAACTCTGTGCATCAGAGTTTGAATTTTCCTCATCTCCTTCTTAGATTTATTATGGAAAATGCAGAAAGAGTTATTAAAAACAAATTCAATTAGGGGCCAGCCCCGTGGCTTAGCGGTTAAGTGCGCGTGCTCCGCTGCTGGCGGCCCGGGTTGGGATCCCGGGCGTGCACCAATGCACCGCTTGCCAGGCCATGCTGTGGCGGCATCCCATACAAAGTGGAGGAAGATGGGCCCGGATGTTAGCTCAGGGCCAGTCTTCCTCAGCAAAAAGACGAGGATTGGCATGGATGTTAGCTTAGGGCTGACCTTCCTCACAAAAAGAAAAAAAAAATTCAATTAGTTGCCTTCTTAGATACAAATTTAGGCTGTTTTTCTTTTTTATCTCAATCTGGTATTGAGGTGCATTCAGTGGGCTGTGCAGTGACTGGGAAGTTTTTCTATTCTTAGACCTCACCACTTTGCTTTTTTGAATGATTGATTGACGGGTTAAAAGTTCAGCTCCATTATTATGCTATGGACTTTGCTCCTAGGATCAATGCCATATTGTAAACACCATTAAACATATTTTTGAGTTTTTCAGTACTGATCTACATGAGCTTTGCCAAGCAATCGTTTTAAAAATAAATAATGATAATGGCTAACACTTACATAGTATATAATCTGTGCCAGGCAAGGTTCTAAGTACTCTAGATATATTAACTTTCTATATACTTACTCATTTAATCCTCTCAATAACCATTGCCATTGTACCATTACTGTCTCAGTGGGTACCATTACTGTCCACATTGTGCAGATGTGCAAAGTGAGGCACAGATGAGCAAACTGAAGTAAAGACCAAGTTAGAATCAGTGCAGATAATCAGCTTTGTACAAGTTCTTGTTAAGTCATATAAAATTAAAAGCTGAAAGGAAACTTAGAGCTTTTTTGTTTTGTTTTATTTAACATATTTGAAGAGCATTTGTTACATGCCAGCCACTGTTTTAAATGACTGTACACACACACACACACACACAAACACACAAACTTAATCCTCATAATAACCTTATGAGATACATACTATTATGATGCCCATTTTTTAAAGACAAGAAAACTGAGGCACAGATAGATTAGGAAGCTTGCCTAAGGTTACAGAGCTAGTAAATAGCCCAGCTTGGATGGCAACCCAGGCAGTATAACTCCATAGTCCTTGCTTTAACCAGCACAGTATCTTGACTCTCTGCCTCCTCTCAACTAATACAGAGGACAAAACTTGTGACTCACAGGCCAAATGTAGCCTGCAGATGTACTTTATTTGGCCTGCACAGTATTTTCTTAACATTTTTCATCAGCTACCATTATTTAAAAACCAGGAAAGTAAGGTAGCTTTGACTTCCAATTCTGGCTCCACCAGTCCATCCTGTCATCTTCATTTTACAATCTTTAACAAATGAGTGACCTGGGCTTTGGAAAGGTTAAATCAAATTTTCCTAAAGTCACATGTTTAGTAAGTAATGGAGAATTGGATGTCAAGTCTGCCTGATATTGAAGCAACACAATCAAGTTAACAGATTTGAGTTTCAATATGACTCAAAAAGTAATATTAAGGATCTAACTTCTTTCTAAAAATAGAACCTGAGTCTTTCTCTCTAATGTCAGGTTGCAGCTGAAGCCGAAAGTGGTATTTTTGTCTTATAATTCTTAGAGTTTGAATTCTGCCACTTACTAACTAGGAGACATGGGGCAAGTTACCTAATCTCTCTCAACCTCAGTTGCCTCACATGCCCCTTGCTTATATGGTTGTTCATTCATGTCACAAATACTTGCTGAGTACCTATTATATGCCATTATAGCATTATTGTTGTGAGATTTAAATAATATGGTACATAAAAAGCATGCATCACAGTTGAGAGCACATTGTAACTGCTCATTAAATAGTAACTTGTTATTACTATTATTAATAAAGATATAAGGAATTCTGCTTGGCTCAAAAAAATAAGAAGCTTAGACTTTTAGACAGGGAGAAAAGTAACAATATCTATTTTTTTAGGTAAAATTGACGTAACATAAAATTAACCATTTTAAAATGTTCAATTCAGTGACATTTAGTATATTCTGTTGTACAACCGTCACTAATATCTAGTTCCAAAACATTTTCATCACCCCCAAAGGAAACCTCATAGGCATTAAAAAATCACTCCCCATTCCCTCCTCCCCCCAGTCCCTACCAACCACTAATCTGTGTTCTGTCTCTATGGATTTACCTATTCTGGATGTTTCACATAAATGGCATCATACAATATGTGTCCTTTTGTATCTGGCTTCTTTCAATTAGCATAATGTTTTTGAGGTCCAACCACATTGTAGTATGTAACAGTACTTCATTCCTTTTTGTCTGAATAATATCCCACTGTATGTATATACCACACTTTATCAATTCATCCATTGATGGACATTTGGGTTGTTTCCACCTTTTGTCTATTCTGAACAATGCTGCTATAAACATTTGTGTACAAGTATTTGTTTGAGTATTTATTTTCAATTATTTTGAGTAAATACCAGGGAGAGAGGTGGGAATTGCTGGGCTGTATGTTAATTCTATGTGTAACTTTTTGAGGAAACGCCAAACTATTTTCCACAATGGCTGCACATTTTTATTTTCCCACCAATAACGTAGGAGGGTTCAAATTTCTCCACATCTTCACCAACACTTGTTATTTTTCTTTTTTTATTATAGCCATCATAGTGGGTATGAAGTGGTATCTCATTGTGATTTTGATTTGCATTTCCCTGATGATTAGTGATGTTGAGCATCTTTTCATGTGCTTGTTGGCCATTTGTATATCTTTTGTAAAGAAATGTCTTTTCAAGTCCTTTGCCCGTTTTTTTAATTGGGTTATTTGTCTTTTTGTTGTTGAATTGTAAGATTTCTTCATATACTCCAAATACTTGACCTTTATCAGATAAATGTTTCGCAAATATCTTCTCCCATTCCATGAGTTGTCATTTCACTTTCTTGATAGTATCATTTGATGCACAGAGTTTT